GATTTTTCAGTTCTTCATTTCTGTATACATCATGGCTAATTTATTCTGCATAGGATTTTTTAAAAAATAATTCTGCAAGTAAGCTATTGCATCCAAAATGCTTAGATCTCCATTGAAAGAAATATCTATCCTTTTCAGGTTTCTGTTCAGTTCTTCACAATAATCTCTTAAATGTTTCAAAATAGCCTCTTAAAAGCCCCTTGAACATAGAATAAATTTGACATAGCTTTCTCCTGTGTTCAAGTATATTTACTTAGAGATGTACAACCTCTGAATTAGGCCAAATAGACCCTCATTTATAGTCCCCCATCACGCTGAAATCATACTGCTGAAATTTGGAAAAAAATTGAGAAATACGATTTTGGACATTTTTGAGGTTGTGGAAGTTAAGAGTAGACATAATAGCAGTTGCAACCCAGAAACTTTCTTTACCCTATTCCCCATACAAGCTAATTTTGAGTCATTTTTCAAAGATATTTATGTATGCATTAAGGAATCAGAAGGTTTTTCCTGCCAAAATCTAGAGATTATTATTATAACTAAAACCACTGAAGGATTTCTAATTCTTCAATCTATACCATTTTCATCCAAATATATGCATATCAGTACTGTTTCTCCAGCTTGAATATTTGATGCTATCTGGAAAGCTTGTGACTTCACATTTCACTGATAACATCAAATCATTTTTTGATGCTTAACCAACCTTCCAAATGCAATGAATATCATTGACAAATTATTATTCACTTCATGTCAGAATGCATCGTACATCTATTCATTTTTGTTAAAAATTGGTTATCACTTCGTAATAAAATATTATCACTCAAAAACCTTTGTGAAATGTAAGTACTGTACATAACATCGACCAGTTTATCCTTGTCCACGTGTTTATTATTTGGTATCAAAAAGCATCAAATATTTGCTGAAATGTGACTTCTGTTTGAATAAACTACAGCAATTCTTGCACTGTAAAGGCCCTTTAATGTTATTTTCTGGCCATTTACCAAGAATGGATCATGGTAAGAAATCCTAGTTCTTTTCAAAAATGTCACCTATGCTCAATCTTCTGTTAAGAAATCTAACTGAAACCATATGTTATTATTAGCAAATAAAGATGTATATCTTGAACTTTCCAATAACTTTTGATTTTGTGCCATTTGGATCTAGAGATCTGGTAGGGAGGGCATCCTTTGACTCCTTTCTCTGACAGAAATATCACCAGGGACAGTGAAGGAGGGTCTTTATCATGATGACTCTGTCCTTTGAGGCAGCAAGCCACCAAACAATGGATCAACATCTACCCTCTTGAGATTTAGAAAAGTCACTAAGACCTATTATTATGCATTCATATTATATATTCATTAATGCTTTCATTGTATTGAAATGTACATCGTTTAGAATCATTTGGAACTGCAGTGGTCTATAAACTTAAGTCCGTGAAGTAAAAAAAAGTATTCTTTTTCATTAGATTATTTTCTTGAATCTATTGTATTCAATATATATTTTCCTCAGTGAAAATCACTCAGTAATTTCCAATTTATTTATCAGTGACTTGTGACAATGAAGTTTTCTGTTTCACTGGAATTCATCCAAGCCAGAAATCCTTTGTGCCATCTTGTTATCAACCTTCAGCGTCAGTCTCCAAAGTATTATGCTAACAACTTATTTGTTCTGATATTTCAGAATGTGATATATTAAAGCTGAAACTCACTTTATATCCATGAAATGAATGATTGTGTTTTTATTTGTCTTTTAAAATTTTCTATGTATATTATACTATAGCAGGTTCAGAGCACAGAATCAAATATAAATTTGCAAAACCTGGAACAAATGTTTCAATTCCATTTAAAAAAAATAAAATAATGCCACTTTTGATACCCTTTTGTTCAATTATTCGTTGTTAAATAATTTGTTGAAGACACCATGAGATGTGTTTATTCAGAAGTGATATACTCAGAGGTACAATTTCATACTTTTAGCTTTAAGACTGTGTAAACAGTCAACAATGAACATTTATCATCTGAATCAAGAAAATTTTGAAATTTTTGAAGGAAAAATAAAATATGATGGAATATTAGAACTTATTAAATGTATCAGTTTAATAATTAAATGTATTAGTTAAAACTAATTAAACTTATTACTTTAATAAGTATACAATGTATTAAACTATGTTTAATAAACATACAATACATTTTCACTGCAGATGACAGCAACAAGCCAATGTTGGCTGGCCTGAAATAAATTTGGATGGAAGAGCAAGCTTGCACTGGAAGTCACAGGACTGTATATTACACTGGGAGGAAATGCATGCATGCATTCATACATACATACATACATACATACATACATACATACATACATACATACATACCATACTCAGACAAAATCACTCAGATTCGGGAAGATCTGGACTCTGACTGGGTAGATCCAGTGGGGATGACGGAGGCAGGTCCTGAGAATGTTATCTGGGATGAGTTTGACTCTGTGACCCCTGAGGACGTGGACAGGATTCTGGGTAGACTGAATGCGACCACATGTTTGTTGGACCCGTGCCCCTCCTGGTTAGTGCTGGCTTCCCGGGAGGTGACGCGAGGCTGGCTCCAGGGGATTATAAATGCTTCATTGAGTGAGGGTGTCTTTCCCGCCGCCTTGAAAGAGGCGGTGGTGAGACCTCTCCTCAAGAAGCCTTCCCTGGACCCGGCAATATTGGCTAATTATCGTCCAGTCTCCAACCTTCGCTTTGTTGCGAAAGTTGTTGAGAGTGTGGTGGCACGACAGTTTCCCCGGTACCTGGATGAAACGACGTATCTAGATCCGTTCCAGTCGGGCTTCAGGCCTGGGTACAGCACGGAAACGGCATTGGTCGCGTTGGTGGATGATCTCTGGAGGGCTCGGGACAGAGGTTGTTCCTCTATCCTGGTCCTATTAGATCTCTCAGCGGCTTTTGATACCATCGACCATGGTATCATGCTGCACCGGTGGGGGGGGTTGGGGGTGGGAGGCACCGTACTACGGTGGTTCTCCTCCTTTCTCTCCGACCGGTCGCAGTCTGTGTTGACAGGGGGGCAGAGGTCGACCCCGAGGCCCCTTATATGTGGGGTGCCACAAGGATCGGTCCTCTCGCCCCTTTTGTTCAACATTTATGTGAAGCCGTTGGGCGAGATCATCCGTGGTTTCGGGGTGGAGTACCATCAGTACGCTGACGACACCCAGCTGTACATCTCCACCCCGGACCACCCCAACGATGCCCTTGAAGTGATGTCCCGGTGCCTGGAGGCCGTACGGATCTGGATGGGGAGAAACAGGCTCAGACTCAACCCATCCAAGACCGAGTGGCTGTGGTTTCCGACATCCCGATATAGTCAGCTGGTGCCATCGCTGACTATTGGGGGCGAAGTATTGGCCCCCACGGAGAGGGCTCGCAACTTGGGTGTCCTCCTGGATTCACGGCTGTCTTTAGAAGAGCACTTGACGGCCGTGACCGGGAGGATTTTTCATCAGGTTCGCCTGATTCGCCAGTTGCGTCCCTTTCTGGATCGGGACTCGTTACGCACGGTCACTCGTGCCCTCGTCACCTCCCGTCTGGACTATTGTAACGCTCTCTACATGGGGCTCCCCTTGAGGAGCACTCGGAGGCTCCAACTGGCGCAGAGTGCGGCCGCGCGGGTGGTGATGGGAGCGACGTGGCGCTCCCATGTAACGCCTCTCCTGCGTGAGCTGCACTGGCTCCCGGTGGTCTTCCGAGTGCGCTTCAAGGTTTTGGTCATCACCTTTAGAGCGCTCCATGGCTCAGGACCTGGTTATCTACGGGACCGCCTGCTACCACCAATAGCCTCCCACCGACCAGTACGCTCCCATAGAGAGGGGCTCCTCCGGGTGCCGTCGGCCAAACAATGTCGACTGGCGGCCCCCAGGGGGAGAGCCTTCTCTGTGGGGGCACCTACTATCTGGAACGAGCTCCCCCCCGAGATACGGAGGATTCTGGATCTGCGTACCTTCCGTCGCACGCTGAAGACGTTCCTATTCCAGCAAGCCGGCCTGACCTAAACTTCTCCTCTTTTAAATGGGAATTTTAAATTTGGTTTTAAATTATTGGGGTTTTAAATATGGTTCAGCCAAATTTATCTAACTTGTTTTATTTCTATTTTAAATTTTGTATTGATATGTTTTATTTCATGGCTGTTCACCGCCCTGAGTCCTTCGGGAGTAGGGCGGTATACAAATCTAATAAACAAACAAACAAACAAACTGAAAGAAGGCAATGGCAAACTATTTCTGCATTCAAAAATCCATCATGGACACGTCCATATAATCACCAGACATCAAACTCAAGAAAAATTAACTTTTATTGTGTTAGGAATACAGAATTTGGGGAGTTAAGCTTTTAAAAATATAAGAATCTATGGATTAAAAAAACTGAAATAATACAGGAAATGGACAAAAAGACATTAAAATACTTTATTCTCATTTGCATTACCAGAGATCATAATCAGATTTCTAGAAGAATTGACAGATTTCACAATGGGCCAAGCCATTTTTAATTGGGGACATAGCATTTTTTTTAAAGATAACCTTTTTATTTAAAAAATAGTGTAAAAAAATTCATAAACCCCTAATGTACTGCATTATTTGTACCTAGGCACCACCACCTCAGTATGGTGGTGTGAACTAGGTGTTTGGGAGTTTCCTGATGTAAAAGTTCATTTAAAAGAAATAGAATATAAAGAGTAAAAGAGAATGGGGAGATACAGTGTAAAAAAGATTGATTAGAAAATATGAACTGCTTCTTAATTAAGAATAAAATGGATCTTCAGAGGATGGAGGTATATCTATATACGTGAGTCAGAAACATTCACTTTATGTTACAGAGTGACCTTATACTTTTCCCAAATAGCTATTTTTGTTGGCTAATCTACTTTATTCAGGAAGCATCTCCATATTTTCAGTGACACATTATTGACTTCTGGTGATTAGTTTCCCTCCCTCCTCTTTTCTCCTTCCAGTTTCCATTTCCCAAGTTGGTAAGCATTGCAGCAGCTGCCAGAAAGAAGGTAAGATTGCCAGGGAAGGTTGACTTCATAATGATGGATGACCTCTCTGGCTGAGGTAGAACTGGGTTTGGCAAAGAAATACATAATAATCAAAAGTCAAATGAACAACAACAAAAAAAAAAGTGTGGATATTTCCAAGCCCTCTTTGAAATAACGTGATAGTTCATACATTGGGAATTTATTACATTCAGCAACTCTCTCCCAACCTTTTCCCAAGCATTTTTATCTATTGAAGGCAGGCATAGTGGGCCGTAATCTGTCCTTTGGTCTCCTTATATTTTTTCTTTCTCTGTGAAGGAAATATATGTTATCCCTAATGTGCTTTCAGATTTGTGTAGAGAACTGCTAATTCTTAATGGTCTTCTTGATCTATAATATTACCCAGTGTTGCTCATTTTCAATTTTTACTTCTGGTACAAGCATTCTTACAATTTGCTTTGGCTAATAAATCATCTAGAAAACCAGTGGTTAATGCACCAAGCCAGAAAAAAGAAGACTGTGAGTTCTAATCCTACCATAGGCAAAAACTGTTTGGATGACCTTGGTCCAGCCACTTTCTCTCAGCCCTAGGAAGGAGAAAATGACAAACCACTTCCAGAATCACTTTAAAAGAAAACTGCAGTTGTCAGAAGTCAGCACTACCTTGAAGGTATAAACAAACAAACAAATAAACAAACTATCTGTGGCCTCCAATTTTGATTCCAGCTATAATTTGCTCCAATCTTGCTTTAAAAAAAGAATAGTATTTACTCTCCAATTTAAAAGGATATGGGAAAATAAGCATCTTTATTTCATCTTTTTTTGATGAACACTCTTCTTTTTCCAGTTCAGTTCTTATAGTAGCTTTTTGTTCATTACAAATATTCTATACATAAATAATCAGATATTCTGACCCATCATTAACTCATATAGTCCTTACTTTTGCAGTAATCGATACATTCAACTTTTTTTGCTATAGTCAGTAAAGCAAAGGAAATTATCTTGCTCTTTTCATCCTTAATGCTAATTCTTGATTTTTCCAAAATCTGCTTGTTTATCTGGTATTTCTGTCTTCATGTATAGCACTATTCTTCTGTATAGAACCTTAAGCAAAGTTTTGATTCCATGGAGAATTTTGCAATGATTCCGTAAATTGCATGTTTTTTTCTAACTTCGTTTTTAAAAATAAGTTTATATTAGTTCTTTTCTGAATTCTAGAAAACCACAGCCTTATTCTATATATGTTTCTACAGAGCCACTTGAACTTTAACCATATCTTCTAAAATGTTAAACTGTTGATTGAGTATTTGGAGTTTTCCTATTTGACAGCTGTTCCATTGCCTATTTTATCTCATTATTCAGAAGAATCAGTTTGCCAATATTTCTAGAATCTCTTCACAGAGTTGAGACTGTCCTTTCCAGTTTCCTAGTCTCATATTTCCCCTCCAGTATTTAGTCCCTCCAACATTTGAGGGTCTCCTACAAAGATGAAGGGGTCAAACTATTTTCCAAAGTACCAATAGACATGAAAAGAAACAATGGTCGGAAACTAACCAAGGAGAAAAGCAATCTAAAACTCAGGAGAAATTAACCAATGGAAAACTTGCCTTCAGAAATTGTGGATGCTCCATCACTGGAGGCTTTCAAAAAGAGACTGGACAACAATTTGTCTGAAATGATATAGGGTCTCTTGCTTGAGAAGGGGATTGGACTAAAAGGCCTCCAAGGTCCCTTACAACTCAATTATTCTACGTCCCACTTTCTATTTACCTTATTAGGTTTCTTCCGTGATTGAACTTGCATAGTTCTACCTTAACTTTAAATTTTCTTGTAATTTACCTGATCTTTTTTAAAAAAAAAAATATTTTATTTTTCTTCATTGTTGTTGATGATATCCTTTTTGTACTTGACATTCTGGATTGAGTTATTGTCAGGCTTCCTATCACGGACTCAGCAGTAAATCACAGAACTTCTGACATATCATAGCTTAGCTGGATTTCTTGGTTTTTGACTTGGCAAAAGACAGAGAAGACTTGGCTAGTTTTAAATCATTTTGGCAGACAAGGATGGAGCCATATCCAGTAGTTGATTGCTCACTTCTAATGCAATAATGGGAAGGACTTTTCTACTCTTCTGGATTTAGATCTGGGGCTATTTCCTCCATCATTCCAAATTATCAAATATGTAGAGTAGCATTTGGTGACTTGAAGCTGAGCAATTATTATGTCTACCTGATAGCCATCTCTGGTCTTGGATTTGCTGATTCCTGCTTTGCCAGCCTTAATTCTTACCCTTTTTTCTGTTTTCTTATTGAAGTTTAATTCAATCTTCATGCATTCTTTTTATTGTCCAAGGCTTTCATGGACCTATGGAAAAAGGAGGGGAAAGGATGCTCCTTGCCAGTTTCCCACAACTAAATTCAATGGGGAGATGCTGGCATAAATTAGGAAGGTACGATTGCTCCCACTGCTCCCAATGCTCTGGGTCATACTGTTTACCTTTGCTTAGGTAAGAAAATATCTATGAAACAATGATCCAATGGAGCCTGGCTTGCTTTGCTCCAAATAAAATTGATAGTCAGTTTAGCTTATCTAGTTAAGTAAATTTCATCTGAGCTGTTCACTGGGTTATTAAGCAGGTGTTCCTTCCACACCCCTTTTAACAAGCTGGCAGTTGCTTTGCCCAATCATACAAAATATTCCATCTATGACATCACAGATGTAGACAACAAATTAGAAAATTATTTGGCAGCTAAACATCCCTCCCTCTCTTGGGGTCTTGATGTTGCAAAGTTTCTATTGGTAACCTGCAGAGGTTGTGTGTTGTTGACAGCAGAGGAAGTTAAGCATGATTTCAGGCATTTTTTTTTACTATGCATGTTATATTGTACTTTATTACCATATTGCATATTACATATTGTGTTTTGTTTAATGACGTCTGATCTGTGACTGATAATAAAGTTGACAGACAATGAAAGATAAAGGCACTAACTACCTTTCCCAATTATGTTGTATAAAAGTTTATGGGAGGGGTGTTTATCAGTGGTGGGCTGCCACCGGTTGTAACAGCACCAAAAATATGAGCGTTTGTGACCAAATCGATTGTGATTCAGCATAAAACATGCATGAGTAAGAACCTCCAGAGGTTTCCATGTTGAACTTGGCAATGGCAGAGCTGAAGATATGAATTAGAAGTGAGGTTTGTTTTTGTTAATCTCAACAGCAGGAAAGAAAACACAAAGACATCAATAAATAATTTGGAAGGCATCTTGCTTTCTCAAAATTAAATAAGCTCCGGAGAGCAAGTTTAGACCATAAGTTCAGTCTATTAGACTAAGTTCAGTCTTCTATGAAAAAAAAAAAATGAAGACATTAATACTGTAGTTACCATCACATTTGTGAGACAGTGAACTAGCAGTGGACCTTATAATTGTGAAGTAGTGTCGCATAAACAAATCTAAGTCAATATAAAACCTACTCAGTTTAGCAATTCTTTTCATAGCTCCGTTTCCATCTGAGACTAAGGTATTCAGCAGGCCTTGAGCACATGCTACACAGTATGATAAACAATCTTTGCCCAGAGAAGTAAAAATGCCGGTGGGTTTCAGCTATAACAAAAGTGATAGAGCTGAACTAGCCATGTTTATGATGTTTCAAGAACATAAAAGAACACCATAAAGAATGACAAATGCTGCTATATAACAGCGCCATCTGGTGATAATAATGCAGGGGGGGGGGAAAGGGAAAGCATCTTTTTATGTACAACTAGAATGACTGCCTTATCTTTGGTACTGTATGATTGTAAACTGCATTGATATGTATTCTTTCACCTTGCATGCCCTTGCAAACTTCCACTCACTGTTATCTGCCAAGTTGAAATCAGTCACTAGCTATCAGCTCCTGAATAATTCGGAGTTCAAATGAAAAGTGTTCATTTGTGCACCAACACTTTTCATGCAGTGCATCCTTCCAGGAGAAGGGTGGTATATAAATTAAATTAATAAATAATAAATAAATCTATGTGAGAGAGAAGGAGAGGGAGGGAGGGAGGGAGAGAGGTTATAAAGTGATATGTCAGGACACTTCTAAAAGATTTGCCATGGATCGATCTAGGTGTGAAAATGGTCCAACAATAGAAGTGAACCACGAGAACTGTAAACTATGTACTGTATCTTGCCTATTTAGAATAGAATACATTAACAGAGTTGGAAGGGACCTTGGAGGTCTTCTAGTCCAACCCCCTGCCCAGGTAGGAAACCCTACACCACTTCAGACAAATGGTTATCCAACATCTTCTTAAAAATTTCCAGTGTTGGAGCATTCACAACTTCTACAGGCAAGTTGTTCCACTTATTAATTGTTCTAACTGTCTGGAAATTTCTCCTTAGTTCTAAGTTGCTTCTCTCCTTGATTAGCTTCCACCCATTGCTTCTTGTTCTACCCTCAGGTGCTTTGGAGAATAGTTTGACTCCCTCTTCTTTGTGGCAACCCCTGAGATAGTGGAACACTGCTATCATGTCTTCCCTAGCCCTTCTCCTCATTAAACTAGACATACCCAGTTCCTGCAAACATTCTTTATATGTTTTAGCCTCCAGTCCCCTATTCATCTTTGTTGCTCTTCTCTGCACTCTTTCTAGAGTCTCAACATTTTAGATAATAGGTCCACTCATATTTTATAACAGGCCTCAAAATATTTCTGCTGGGATACAGAAGCCAACTGGTCTATTGGTTTCTAAGATGCTGCTGCCTAATGGAAACCAACCAGAAGAATGAAGGAGAATGAAAGAAAGAAGCATATTTCAGTAAAATCATTCAGTCAGAACTAATCAAACAATAACTAACCATCTGCCATTCAATATTGGACAGCGCGCTGATTCCATGCTGTCTCTACCGCATCACACTTTTATTCTCACATCAAGCTGAAGACATTTTGTTTTCATTTATTTTCCTTAATTTTTCTCCTTGCAACAAATTAGTGAAATGAACCAAAGGATGGAGCTTAAATTAGTAGCAGGCCATGAG